TCTTCACCTCCTTACGCAGCCAGTGCCACTTGATACGCATGTGCTTTTTCAGCCCATGAAGCACAGCGTTCCTGGCCATCCCAAGAGCTCCCTTGCTATCACAAAACAGCGGCGTAGCAACCTTTTGCTCCTGGCCAATCTCCTCCAACAGCCTCCTCAGCCAAATCACCTCCTTCACCCCATGGAACATCGCCATGTACTCTGATTCCACGGAAGAGAGTGCTGTCTCCGTCTGCTTCTTTGACCTCCAACTAACCGGTCCTCCCCCAACTACGCAGATGTATCCTCCCACAGATGAGGAATCCTCCTTCTCAGAGGCCCACGTAGCATCAGTAAAGCAAGTGAGAAAAAGCTTGCCTTCTCCAAGCCTCTCCCCCTTCTCTTTCAGCACCTCAACCCCTTTCTGCTTCACCTGTGCAGATGCGGAGTATTGAACTCCAATGCTTGGGTGAGAGTTCAGATACTTCACCACACGCTCAGCTGCATCCACCTGCTCCTCTGATGGATTCTGCACTACCCTAGCCAGCTGCCCAACCGAGAAAGAGATGTCGGGTCTCGTGTGAACTGCTGCATACAAGAGGCTGCCCACCAAGGACTGAAATTGCTGCTGCTCCTCGGCTTCAACCCCTTCATCCTCTGCAGCTTTCACAAGCTTGAATTCTGCTGGCAGGGGAGTTGCAACCTTGCGCTCATTCTCAATTCCGTACTTCTCCCCAAGCTCCTTGATGAACTTCTCCTGGTGCAGCTTCAACCACCTGTGATCCAGATCCTTCTCCACGTGCATCCCGAGGTAGTACTTTACCTCCCCAAGGTTCTTGCACTTGAAGTTCTCCATCAGCTGCTGCTGCACCTTCTGGATCTCCTTCATGCTGCTGCTAAAGAGAAGAATGTCGTCCACATAGACCAGAAACAGCACCAGCTTCTCCCCCTCCCCCTTGAGAAAGAGGCTCTCATCACAGCTGCTGGTCCTGAATCCCATCTCCTCTAAAACAGCTGCCAACTTCTGGTACCAGCAGCGTGGCGCCTGCTTCAAGCCGTAGATGGACTTTTTCAGCTTGCACACCCTGCCCGTACCATCCTCATACCCAGGTGGCTGCGTCATGAACACCTCCTCCTCTAAAATCCCGTTGAGAAATGCCGTTGATATGTCCATCTGGATAATGAACTTCCCACTAACGGCTGCATCTGCCAACAAGACACGAAGGGTAGGGGGTTTGGCAGTGGGAGCAAAGATCTCATTGAAGTCCCGCTTCTCCTTCTGCATAAACCCCTTAGCCACCAACCTACTCTTGTAGATGGTGACCTGCCCCTTGTCGTCAGTCTTGATCCTTAGCACCCACTTGCATTGTACCGCTTTCTTTCCCTCAGGCAGCACCACTAGTTCCCAAGTCCCATTCTCCAGCAGGCTCTGGTACTCAGCATCCCTGGAAGCTAGCCATTTGTCCCTATCTGGTCCAGCTAATGCCTCCTCCATGCTAGCTGGTTCCTCTGGTGCAGGGGCAAGAAAACAGTACGCAGGTTGATCCTCCTCATCCGGGTCATAACCATGCGGTAGAATCAGCAATGCCTCCTCGGTCCCAAGCTGCTGCTCCGCTACATCAGCTCCTGCAGTCAGCTTCTTAGTAGCCATACGGGTACGTCCTGGCCTGGAGACGGGTGTCTCCCATCCCTTCATAATAACACCCTTCGGCTTCTTAGTTTTCCCCTGCTGCTGCTCTCCTCCCTCGGATCCAGCAGCTCCACTAGTGCTACCGCTAATCTCCACACCATCACCTCCACCAGCAGGTGCCTCCTGCACCTTCTCTTTATCACCACCCTCTGCAGCTGCCTCCTCTCTCTCCTCCCACACACTAGGAGTCAGGTCCAGCTGCATGGTAATCTGCTCCATCTGCTGGGACACCCTGGCCTCCGGCTGTTTCTCCCAGCTCCCATACATCATGCCCTCAACAAACTTCACATCCCTGCTGTCAAACAACACACCCTTGGAAGGCTCCCACAGCAGCCATCCCTTGCTCTCAGCAGCCAGCCCCAAATGCACACACCAGATTGCACTCGCCCCCAACTTACTGCGATAGGTCTTGGGAACGTGGGCGACTGCCATGCAACCGAACACCCTCAGCATGTCCACCGGCGGCTTCCTCCCAAGCCACCTCTCCAATGGCACCCACGAGTCATCCCCAACCTTTGTGAGTACCCTGTTCCTAGCGACAGTAGCGTGCCGAACAGCATGGGGCCACATCAAGTTGCCCAGCCCAGATTCTATGAGCAGCGCCCTAGCTGTCTCCAGAATTGTCCGGTTCGCCCGTTCTGCTACACCGTTGGACTGTGGGGTGTAAGCCGTGGTCAGCTCCCTCTGGATGCCCTGCTTCTTGAGCCAGGCCGTCATCTCAGCTCCAAGGAACTCACCACCCCGATCTGTCCTAATCCGCTTCACCACACACTCCGCTTGCTTCTCCACTAACGGCAGCCAATCGTCCCGAATCGTGGAGGCGGCGTGATCTTTCTGCTTCAGCGGATACGCCCACATTAGCCTGCTCCAGTCATCCACTATGGTTAGGAAGTACCGCTCCCCCTTGTGCCCTTGCACCGGCAGCGGCCCCACCAAGTCCATGTGGACCAGCTCCAACGGCTTTTTGCTCCTGCCAGCCACACTATGGAAGGGGAAACGGGTGAACTTTGAAAGGAGGCAAATTTCACAGTTATCATCGGGTGGTTGTCCGTTCAGCTTTAAGCCCTTAACGGCTCCATCCTTCTCCAGCTGCTTCAGCAAAGGCATTGCCACATGCCCCAAACGTCGGTGTGCAGTTGCCCAATCTGTCTCCCCAGATCTGGCCGACACTTTCACACCAACCCCTCCAACGGCGTTGCACTCCCCCTGGGATGCAGACCCCTCTCCAGCCTGCCCTCCACCGTGCCACGCCAGCGCCGGCAGCTGCCACATAGATCTGTACACGTCCTTGCTCTCGTGCAGATCCCAAAGCACCCGATTGCCCAGCTTCCCCTTATAAGTGCGAGCCCCATCCGTGTTGGTGTTCACCCCAGCCTTGCCAAGCTTACGGAGGGAGATGAGGTTGGCCTTCAGGTCGGGGACGAGGAGAACGTCGTGCAGCACCACCGGCTTGCCATCCGCTCCCTTAAATGCAGCTCGTCCCGCACCAGCCACCTTCAACATGTGTCCAGAGGCAGAGCACACCTCATTAATCGGTGCAGCGCGTACGTCGTCCAGCAGGTCCTTGCGCGGCGTCATTGTCCAAGCGGCGCCTGTGTCCAACACCCAATAGTCCAGGGGATGCAGCTCTGCTCCAGCCTTAGCAGATGCGTCTCCTTGCTCCCCCTTGTCTCCCATATGGAAGAATTGGCCTGCGGTGCGCTCCTTCTTCTTCTCCGCACCGCCGTTGCCCTTCGGGTTGTTGTCGGACGAATCAGCAACCATGTTGGCGCCGTTTTTCTGGTTCCTCCGCGCGCCGCCATCCTGGTGACGATTCTGGGGGGTCCATCCATCGGGTTTCTTATAGCACAAAAACCAGGGGTGCCCTTCCTTCTCACAATACCAGCAACTCCCTTTCATTTTGCCACCAGCACCCGACTTGCCCCCACGTCCAGATTTCGCACCGCGACCCCAACCGGTACTTCCTTGTTGGTCGTTGGAGTCGTCATCTTTCTTTGCACCGCGTCCAGCACCACCGAAGCCACGTCCTTTGCCACGTCGGCTCCCTTGCATCCCGTAGCCGCTGCTGCCGTCGTCTCCACCCCTCAGTTGGCGGCGACGGAAGTCCTCCTCCAGAATCTTCGTCCGCACCCACTCGAGCGTCCACAAGCTCTGGTTCTGCGGCAGGCTCAATCCGCTCGTAAATTGAAGCCACGATTCTGGCAGCAGCGAGAGCATCTTCAAGCACTTTGTTTGCTCCGGGTAGGTGATTCCTGCGGTCGCCAACTTCGCGTAGAGGTCGCGCAATTTGTCCAGGACAGGTTGTACCGGCTCTCCCTCGCTCAGGCGCAACGCGGACAGCTCCCTCTCCAGCATCAATGTTGCAACAACGGAGGTCGGGGCGTGCAGCTCCTTCAACACCGTCCACGCCTTCGGACCGCACTCAACCTCCGGCAGCAGGTGCATGACGTGGTGACGCTGGTTCAGCTCCAAACTCTGCGACATCAAGTAGTAGCCAGCCGAGGCGCGCTCGTCCCAATCTTCCTGAAGGGCGGGGTCACTCGGTCTAGGCTCCTCCCCAATCATTAGTTTCAGCAATCCGATTTGACGGAAATAAAGTTGCATTTTCCAGGCCCAATCATCATAGCCCTCACCATTGAACTTCTCGACGGTGAAGTTTTTCAGCACCTCCTTGATCAGCGAGCCCTGGCTTGTTCGCGCTCCCCTTGGCGCAGAAACACCAGAATCATGGCTGCCGCTACGATCTTGGGCTGAAGATTCACCAGCTACCGCCGAGGTGTTGCCCGCCATAGCTACCTATATCGAGGATCACTATAACGCAGCTCTGATACCAGCTTGTTGGTGTAAGGGCCTAATAAACTCAAGCTATTAAGACTTTATCACACTTAAAACCTCTCCTCGGGGTCACCTCCAAGGGTCCTTGGGTGCCTGGTACAAGACCAGCCCCTATCCTCGGGTCCGAGTTTGTAGAGAGAGGGATCAAGAGGGACTTAGTCAAAACAGCAAGAGTACCTTGAACGTCGCGCAGCGTATCGTGCAGACCGTCGATCGGATTAAGCTGAGAATTTCCTATATCGAAGCTCACTCTAAGAGCTTTAAAATAAGCCAAGTTGCCTCGCGAAAAGTTCTGCCATTACGAAGTTATGGCTCGGACAGCGTTAGCCTAGCGTTGGAGTGCTAGCGTACTAGCGTTGACTCGGGTAGCATTCCGCCGTCGCACCGCGTAGAAAAGAAATTCCAGCAAGGAAGGAATTCGCTTGAATCAATTTCACTATATTCAGGTACAAACAGAGAAGGAATAAATAGCTCTAGCTAGCAAGGACCTTGGGAATCAACCTGGGAACAACCAGGGATGATCCCAAATAATTCCAAGCAACAGAACCAACCTGGCTGGACAAAATAGCAGGTGATAGGTTGGTGAACAACCTCTGGTTCTGTTTTTCCAACCTGGGAAAACAACAACCAGGTTCAGGTCCTAAAAACAGAACCTGTTTTGTCTTTGCCCAACCAGCCAAATGCTGGTTCCGCTGGTTTCCCCTGGCCCTGTAGCATGCAGATACAGACAAACAACATCCAACCTTCACCTAAATTGTACCCCTATAGTGCCTGCCCTGCTACACTATAGTCAACCAAACAAAACAGTACAATTTCGAGTTGGATAGAACTGAATCTGCGCAATCAAGTAAGTTGAACCGCAAAGCTTCCATCTTGGGTTCCTTTGCGAGCTCGTCCTTTCTGCTTGTACTGTTCATAGCGCGTACAATGTTATGCCGAAGCGCACATTTTGCGAGTACCTGCAAATGCTTCAAGCGAAAATTGCGAAAGCAAACAAACACACAAACATACCATTCACACGCAAATGCATTCGCACACGCATACTCGTACAAACAGACGGCAGGATGTCGTGCAATGTGAATTTGCACCCAACACTTTTGCGGCGTCGCTGCCGCCCGGCCGCGGCCTCGTCGCCGCCGATTCGCGGCCTTGTTGCCGCCGGTTTGCGGCCTGGTCGCCACTGCAGCTGCAGCAGCAGCAGCCGCCGCGCCATCTGCAGCAGCCGCCGCTGCATCTCCAGCAGCAGCCGCAACCACACCTTCTGCAGCGGCCGCCGCGTCATTTCCTGCAGCATCAACGGCCGCATTGTCTGCAGCAGCCGCCGCTGCATTTTCAGCAGCAGCAACTGCCGCTTCTTCTGCAGCAACTGCCGCTGCATTTCCAGCAGCAGCAACTACTGCACCCTCTTCAGCGGCAACTGCCGCATCTTCAGCAGCAGCCGCCGCTGCATCTACAACAGCAGCAGCTGCTGCATCTTCTCCAGCGGCTCCTTCTGCATCTTCAGCAGCAGCCGCCGCAGCATCTCCTGCAGCAGCAGCTGCCGCATCTTCATCAGCAGCCGCCGCAGCATCTACTGCAGCAGCAGCTGCCGCATCTTCATCAGCAGCCGCCGCAGCATCTACTGCAGCAGCAGCTGCCGCATCTTCAGCAGCAGCCGCCGCAGCATCTACTGCAGCAGCAGCTGCCGCATCTTCATCAGCAGCCGCCGCAGCATCTACTGCAGCAGCAGCTGCCGCATCTTCATCAGCAGCCGCCGCAGCATCTACTGCAGCAGCAGCTGCCGCATCTTCAGCAGCAGCCGCCGCAGCATCTACTGCAGCAGCAGCTGCCGCATCTTCATCAGCAGCCGCCGCAGCATCTACTGCAGCAGCAGCTGCCGCATCTTCAGCAGCAGCCGCCGCAGCATCTACTGCAGCAGCAGCTGCCGCATCTTCAGCAGCAGCCGCCGCAGCATCTCCTGCAGCAGCAGCTGCCGCACCTTCTGCAGCAGCAGCCGCCGCCACCTCCTGCAGCGACAACTGCCGCATCTATTGTAGCAGCAGCCGCCGCCACATCCTACAGCGGCAACTGCCGCATCTTCACCAGCAGCCGCCGCAGCATCTACTGCAGCAGCAGCTGCCACATCTTCTGCAGCAGCAGCCGCCGCTATCTCCTGCAGCGGCCGCCGTAGCTACATCAGCATCAGCCGCCGCTGCCTCTGCAGCAGTGGCCGCCGCCGACCCAGCAACGACCGCCTCCGCATCTCCAGCAGCGGCAACAGCCGCACCTCCTGCAGCAGCTGCCGTCGCCGACTCAACTGCAGCAACTGCCGCAGCTGTCCCAACTGCTGCTGTTCCTGTTATCCTTCCATTTTCGACTGTTCCTCCTCCTGCTATCATGGCTAGCGCTCCTGTCCTAGCCTTCGATGCTGAGGGTCGCCCAGTGAAATTTGACACCTGGCTTGACGATCTCCACCTCTTCCTACAGCTCACTGCCAAGGAAGACATCTCCCTGTATGATCATGCCCTCGGCCATGCTACTGCCCCTGACTCCTCTGCTGCCAGCACGCTACGCTCCCAGTGGCAGACCCGCGACGCGCATGCTCGCTTTGCTATCCGCAACTCGCTACCGCTAGATGAGCGCGAGCACTTCAGCCAGTGCAAGACTGCTCAGGACCTGTACACAGCCGTCGTTGCCCGCTACTCCTCGCCTGCGTCTGCCACCCTAGGCCGCCTCACCCTACCCTACCTCTTCCCTGACCTGGCCTCTTTTCAGACCGTTGCCGATCTCATTACTCACCTTAAGACCAGTGAGGCCCGCTTTCGCGCTGCTATGCCTGCCGAGTTCCTCGCCAGCAACCCCCCACCGCTCTGGCTCACGCTCTACCACATTGTCACCCGCCTCCCTGACTCACTGCGCGCAGTCAGGGACTCTCTTCTTGCTCGCTCCCCTACTGAGCTCACCATCGCCATCCTTGAGAAGGATCTACTTGCAGCTGAGGCGAGCATCGTCGCCGTAGGTGCCTCTCGTGGCGAGCCCCGCCACCCCTTCTTTGAGGGGTGTTCCCCTTCCCCCCTTCTCCCCTCTGTCGCCACTGCTGCTGCTGTCGACCTCCTTGGTGCTGAGAAGGTCGGGGCTGCGTCTGCCTCGAGCGGGCGTCGCAAGAGCAGGGGGGGCAAGGGTGGCGGTGGGGGTGGCGGCAGTGGGGGTGGCGGTGGGTCTGGAGACACTGGTGGTGGCAGTGGGGGTGGTGACAGCGGCGGCGGGAGTAGTGGCGGCAGCGGCGGCGGTGGTGGTCGTGGTCGCGGCAGGGGTGGAGGTGGCCGAGGCGGTGGCGGTGGCGGTGGTGGTCGTGGAGACGCTGGTGGTGGCCAGGGTCAGCAGCACGCCCCGACCCTCCAGGCCGCCCGTGAGTGGTACGCACAGCGTGGTTCCACTTGCACGTACGTCCACCGCACTGGTGACCGCAAGGGCCTGCCGTGTGGGAGGCCGCACCCCACGCAGCGCTGCTACCAGCGCCTTACTGACGCGTGGCGCGCCCAGTTTCCTGGGGGTGCTGAGCTGCCCCACTGGCCTGAGCTGGAAAGGAAGGGTGTTGATATTTGGGCTTTAGACTTTGATGCTATTCTCACTGCCATGTATGCGATGTCTATTAGTGGAGAGAGTGCTCAGTACCTGCGTGTTCCGCCCGACCCGGGCATTGTGACTTGTCAGGCTCCCGCTCTCAGTACTTGTGAGACTGCTGTCCCAGGTTCTGGTGAGGCTGCTGCTCTAGGTGCTAGTGAGGCTGCTGCCCTAGGTACTAGTGTGTCTGCTGCCCCAGGTCCTGGTGAGGCTGCTGCCCTAGGTACTAGTGTGTCTGCTGCCCCAGGTCCTGGTGAGGCTACTGCCCTAGGTGCTATAGCCCCAGTCGCCCCTGGTACTGAGCCGACCGCCGCACTCCACACCTTCACTCTTGACTCAGGTGCTTCCCGCTCCTTCTTTCGTGACCGCACTATCCTTGAGCCTCTTGCTCGGCCGGTTGCAGTCTCGCTAGCTGACCCCACTGGGGGTCCAGTCGTTGCGACTCACTCCACTGTCCTCCCTTGTCCTGCAGTCCCGTCTGGCACGCTGTCGGGTCTCTACCTCCCCTCGTTCTCTACGAACTTGGTGGCAGGATGTGAGCTACAGGATGGGGGTGTTCACCAGACCACCCCTGCCTACGAGCGAGTGACCCACTGCACGTGTGCCCGGACGGGTCGCCACCTGGCTACCTTTACTCGGGAGCCGGGGTCGGACCTGTACACACTGACCACTGAGTCCCCTCAGGTAGCTGCGTCCGCGTCTGCGTCGGCGTCAGGTCAGCTGTCCGCCCCCTGCTCGTGTCGCTCTCTGGCGCACGACACTGTCCTCTGGCACCACCGACTTGGCCACCCGTCTGTGCAGCGCCTTCGTGCCATGCACAAGCGGCAGCTTGTCTCTGGTCTCCCTCGGGTTCTCCCTCCCCTCCCCCCCTCACCTGCTCCCGACTGCATTCCCTCTGTTGAGGGGCGGCAGCGCGCCGCTCCCCACTCCTCCTCCTTCCCCCCGACGACTGCTCCTTTGCAGACGCTACACATGGACGTGTGGGGCCCAGCCCGCGTCCGTGGTCAGGGTCAGGAGCGGTACTTCCTGATAGTTGTCGACGACTACTCGCGCTACACCACGGTCTTCCCCTTGCGCAGCAAGGGTGACGTCGCTGATGTCTTGATCCCCTGGATCAGCCGAGCCCGTCTCCTGCTAGGCAAGCGCTTTCGCTCGGACTTTCCAGTCCTACGCCTGCACTCTGACAGAGGTGGTGAGTTCACCTCCGACCTCTTGGCAGCCTACTGTGCTGAGCACGGCATCGAGCAGTCGTTCACGCTTCCGGCCTCTCCACAGCAGAATGGGGTCGCTGAGCGCCGCATTGGCTTGGTCATGGAGGTCGCTCGTACCTCCCTGACCCATGCGGCTGCTCCCCACTTTCTGTGGCCGTTTGCGGTCCGTTACGCAGCGCATCAGCTCAACCTCTGGCCCCGTGTCTCCTTCCCGGAGACTTCCCCGACTCTGCGGTGGACGGGAGAGGTTGGTGATGCGTCGCGTTTCCGGGTGTGGGGATCCCGAGCCTTTGTCCGCGATACGTCTGCGGACAAGATCTCGCGTCGCGCTGTTCCCTGTGTCTTTCTTGGCTTTGTCCCCGACGCGCCTGGCTGGCAGTTTTACCACGTCGCCTCGCGCCGGGTTCTGGCCTCTCAGGACGTCACTTTTGACGAGTCTGTCCCCTTCTACCGCCTCTTCCCCTACCGCACTGCCCCACTCCCCCCACCGCCGCTCTTCCTCGCACCAGGTGCTGCTGTGGTAGACCCCCTCCCCCCTCAGGGTGCCGCTCCCTCAGGTGTGTCCCAGGTAGACCCGGTTGACCCTGTTGAGATAGCTGTCGAGTCCCGCCCTCCCAGAGGTGCTGAGCCTGAGAGTGCGGAGCCTGACAGTCCCGAGCCTGGGGGTGCGGAGCCTGGGGGTACTGAGCCTGGGGGTGCGGAGCCTGGGGGTGTGGCGACTGGGGGTGCTGCGTCTGGGGGTGTTGAGCCTGAGCGCACTACGTCTGGAGGAGCTCTCTCCTCCCAGCAGCTGCAGGAGAGGTACCTACAGTACTGCCGCCTCCGGAGCGGAGCTTCTGGAGCTCGTCCCAGTACTTCCCCTCCTGCCCAGGAGCTCCCCCCCATTCAGCAGATCCGAGAGTGGTACGCGCGGCGCTGCAGTCTCCGGAGTGGTGCCCCTGGTGCTGAGGACCAGGACGTTGGCGTTGTCGCTGGTGCTGAGGACCCGGGCGTTGGAGCTGCTGCTGGTGCTGCGGACCCGGACGCTGGTGTTGTCACTGGTGCTGCGGACCCGGGCGTTGGAGCTGCTGCTGGTGCTGCGGACCCGGACACTGGCGTTGTCACTGGTGCTGAGGACCCGGACGTTGGCGTTGTCGCTGGTGCTGAGGACCCGGGCGTTGGAGCTGCCGCTGGTGCTGAGGACCCGGGCGTTGGAGCTGCTGCTGGTGCTGCGGACCCGGACGTTGGCGTTGTCGCTGGTGCTGAGGACCCCGCCGCTGCTGTCTCTACTGGTTCTGGAGCCGCTACGCGGCCGCGACCCTACTTTGTCCCGCTCCTTCAGCAGGTTCTTGGTCTCACGCCAGTCCAGTCGCAGTCACAGTTACCGCCCGCCTCCCCTCTCCCTGGTCCCTCTCCCTACACTGGTCCCACGGGAGGCCTTACTGAGCGTCGTGCGCCTGAGTCACGTCCAGCGTCGCCTGTCCGTACTGCGCGCACCGGTCGTCGTGCCCCGCGTGAGCGTCCTCCTCCTGTCCCGGGCACTCACTACATGACTCTGCGTCCCTCCACTGCTCCGCAGCGTGTCCCGCTGCCGTCTCCTCCTGAGTCTTCGCTGCCTACTCTTCCTGACCCGGAGTCTGACTCCCGTCGTGCTGCCAGTCCCACTGTCACGCGTTTTCTCGCTACTGTCGTCACTGACCTGTCTTTTGAGTCCGCTGCTGCGTCTGCTCTGGTCGCTGAGCTGGTTGACTTTGCTTCTCGCTGTCGCCTGGACTACGCTGCTAGCCTAGTTGCTGAGTCTGAGTCTGCCTGTCCTCCGTCCGTCGGGGGTGAGTGTGCTCTTGGCACGGACGTCCTTGAGGACAGACAGGAGGAGTTTCACTGCTTTGCTGCTGCTGTGCCTCATCTCGTGTCCATGCTTGTTGCCCCTGAGGGAGACCCGGATGCACCAGACATCCCGACCCCGCGCTCCTACACTGAGGCGATGGCGGGTCCCTACTCCTCTCAGTGGCAGACAGCCATGGACGCAGAGATGGCTTCCTAGAAGTCCACTGGCACTTACGTCGACGAGGTTCCCCCTCCTGGGGCGAACATCGTCAGTGGCATGTGGATTTTCAGGGTGAAGCGACCGCCGGGTTCTCCGCCTGTCTTCAAGGCGCGCTACGTGGCTAGGGGCTTCAGTCAGCGAGAGGGAGTCGACTTCTTTCAGACCTTCTCCCCCACCCCGAAGATGA